AAATTTCATATCTATTCTTTTAATGCAATACATCTCGTGGATATTTTATTATATTAAATAGGATTAAATTAATGAGATAAAATCTTAAAATTATTAAGAAAATTATAAATATTTAAATTAAGATTAAATTTAAGTTTTTTATTTATGAATACCAGAATATGGTATGTCAAACTTAATATACAAAGTAAATAATTATGAATATATACTATATATGATCACTTTCATAGTTAATAATTAATAAAAAAAATAGTATTGTGAATTTGTGATAAATTTATAATCTTTTATATATCTTTTTTCACAAAATAGGTATCTAGAAAAAATTATAAATTTATTAAAATATATTTCCTTTATTTACGTGTAATTATCACTTTTTTTAGAAAATTGTTTAATTAAAATTAACACTAATTATTAATTTTCCAATTATACTCTTATTATGATAAGGATATACATTAATTAATGTTTTCAATTAATAAAAAGATATATGTAATTATTTAGAAAATAAAAAATAGATTAAGAATATATTAAAAAGAATCTTACTTATCAGTTTGTTTGGAAAAAAATGGTTAAAAGATTATTAAAAATCATGATGGCTGATTCAAAAATTATAATGGTGCTTTAATAACACTTTTATATATATAAAGGTTTTTTTCACTTTTAATACTTCATCATAGCATTTAACTATATTTATTAATTTTTGTGCAAAAGCTGTAAACGATAATTAAAAACAATGGAGGAATTTTTATTAATTTTCAATTAAACTCAAATTAAATGATATTCATAAATAATTATAAGTGCGTAGATTTAACAAATAAAAATGATGAGATGCGTTTAGATTATAAACAAGATTTTGTCAGACACGATAGGGAAAGTTTAATTTTAGAAGGTATCATTAAAATATTTAACTAATAAATTTGAGTAGACATGTTTGAGATCCAGCTATATTTAACTATTTAATTTAATGATTGAAATAGAAGTACAATTATTTATAATTTCATTAAAAAAATATTCGTATAATGTAAAAATATCACATGTAATTTTTTAAATATAATTTAAATGTGGTGGATAAATCTACTATTAGAGATTTTTTTCATACAAAAGAATTTGAATACGAAATTTTACTTAAATAATATCGGATCTTATACATATATTTATCAATTCAATTATTTAATAGATTTTCTTAAATAAATTAAGTATAAAAAATATATGAAAATAAAAATTATTTAACAATTCATCAAACAATTTTATTTTAATATTTAATATATGATTCTAAATTATAAATAAATATTATTTATAAAATTATATATTACAAACGTTTGGTTTATTTAAACTTTAAAATATGCATAATTAAAATAAACATGTAACTTTAATTAACGGTTTCATTTATAAACTTTGTAGATTTTTGTAAATAATTAATTTACTTTATAGTTTTTAATTAGAATTAAAAAAGTCAAGAAATGCAATAATAAATTTATTAATAAACAGTTTAGAAAAAATTCAAATTGTTAAAAAATATTTAATCGTAAATAAATTCTCTAATAATTATACAAAAATTTATAATTTGATATGCATTTCATTGCTTATTATTATATCAACCTTAATTTTTTTAATTATAATTAAAAAATTGACATTCACTAGTTTATGTAAAATGTTTAAAATTAGTTTATATCTTCACTCAAATTCTCTTCATTGCTAGTGTGACGTATTTAAAAGGTCAAATTCAACGCCACACTTCAGTCGTAACCCTATATTACTTTGTCATTATCAATGTCATGGTCAGTATTACTAACACTACCCCACTGCAATGTTTCATTTACCATAATGTTCTATCATTACTTTCTTCTTTGTGATGATGTAATCGTTAACCATTTGTTGCCAAAGTCTAATAGTGTTGCAACTATATTATCGATATTACAACATACTTGGATGCCATCAATTCAACAATGTTAAGAGACAAGTATACATTGGTTTTATTTATCAATGATCCCATTCACTATGTGCTTAGGGGTATTGCAGGTCCATGCCTTTTACAAGTTCAATTTAGTAACAAAGTTTCTCTTCATCGACTACTTAGACCTTTTCTTGTTCTATTCTTCTTTGACAAAATGGACTCTCCCAAGGTGACAATGACGGAACTTGTGGTTGTTTTAGCTAAGGATGTTCATAAATTGAATTGGATCAATTTTTGGACAAGAAATCATTTGATCTTATCTTAAAATTATAGCTTAGTTTGATTTGGATTGATTTAAATAATATTGAATCCAATTTGATCCAATTAAAAGTGCTTTGGATTGGATTGAATTGAATAATTCATTTTTATAATTTTATTTTTAATTTAGTTAAAAGGAATTAAAGATATTATTTTGTCATTTTTACACTAATTTTAAAATAAAGTTAATTTTTATATAAAATAATAAATTTATGTAATAGGAATATTATACACAAAAATTTTAAGTGATTCTTAAAAAAAATACTTATATAATCATGAAAAAAATAAAATGTATTCCTAAAAACTAATAATATGCTATAAATTTAAAAATAAAAATAAAAAAATTATTTAATTATAATAATTTTGTAACACCTTAAATTTAACTTCAATTAAATAATAATTTCACAAATCGGATAACCAAATTTTCATAAAAGATTTTAAAATAAGTGAAGGGTTACAAGTTAATATCAAGTAACTGCTACAAGACTAGTTCAATTACAACGTTTTCAAAATAAATTCTAAGTCCTATAGTAGTCCATCTGTTCCTTCAATGAGCCCAGTACTAATCGTCTTGGTTACCTGAAAAATGAATGTAAGAGTGAGTACTCTACACTACCCAAAAACACACAATAAACGTAGAGTCTCACCTCTAGAACATTTCAATACATTAAACAAACACAATCACCAGCAACATTTCATATCCATAAGTATAATTTGATAAACTTATGCATATGCATGCCAGTCACATTCACTGCAGCACTATGATCACAAATTTACACCATGAATGGTCGCCGGTTACCCCCGTCTCACGGATACCACGTGGACAGTCACGGGTTGCTCAACAAAGGTAATGGTCAGAAGTCTAGTCAAGAAGAGAGTGTGTGGCTCGTGGTGTACCCATTCTACAGTCGATGTCACCACTACTCCCTCTTCCCCAAGGTATTTCTACCATCCTCATCTCCCACACCCCTAGTGTATCGCTGAACCATTCACAACACATTACAACGACGCTAACACGTCCATTCACACATATTCTATGCACACATGCAATAATCATGCTTACATGCGGCACACAGCCCACATTGTATTCAAATACACGGCACTAGGCCCACATTCATTTCACATTACACGACACATAGCCAATATTCATCTATATTACACCACATTTACATACAATCCACATCCATCAAGTTCGGGTCACACACATAATATTCACACATTACGGCACATAGCCCACATTACATTTCTCAGCAATTTCCTAGCCACTAACTCAGTCACAACACAATATTAAGAAAAATAATAACAATTCATCCACAAAAGAGTAGGATAGAGTTCCCCCCTTACCTTAGATTGAAGACCCACACTCGAATTCGACCACGGACGTGCTCCCTACATAGATTACGGCCTAAAACACATGGAAGAACTCTACGAGAACATCAAGAAACCGAGAAATAGAGAATTGGGGATGAGAAACGGAACCCTAACCATTAAAACTCACCTCCAAGCATTCTCCACACGGATTTAACCTTCAATCAAGCTCCCGAACGGCTTTGGAGGCAATTAATTGATGGAATAGGGCTTTGGGGAATGAAAGGATTGAAGGGAGAGGGAGAAATAACTCTCCCCGAACCCTAACCCCCTTTAAATCCTTTTCTGGTCGCGACATTGTCACTGCAGCGCGCCCTCTTGCTACAGCAAAAAAACCAAAGAAAACTACACTCTGGTTTCTGCAGAATCTCGCTACAGTGAGGCCCTCTCGCTACAACGAGACTGCACCCAGAAATGCACTCCAAACTGTCGCTCTGTTGCTACAGCGAGACGTCTCTCGCTACAGCAAGAAGGCAACAGTTTTGGTCCTTCCTCCCAGGACCCTCTTGCTACAGCGAGAATCCTCTCGCTGCAGTGAGAACAGCCTAGTATCATGCCCTACATTTAGTGCCTTAGCCCATTTCAGTCTTATCCAGTCATGCATACACACACAAATATATATATATATATACACACACACACACACACACTGATCCACAACATACATATATGTACATATATTCATACTCATTACACACAAAACACCATCATCACACATCTAATGCAAATTTTCAACATCCCTTTTACGCTTATACACATATATATGCATTTAGATTTATATAAATAACAATAATTAATATTACCAAAATTCAGGGCGTTACAGATTTCATTAATAATTTTAAAAGTATAAGTGAGATGTTAATTTTATTAATATATATACATATAAATTTTATTTGGAATGAATTGCATCAATTTTCAAAATGGGATCCAAATCCAATCTAATCCATTAATTTTTTTTTTGCAGTGTATAGTTTGTTCATTTTTTTGTTAATTTTGTTTAATTTTTTTTATTCAATTGATTACCTACATTATTTCATTATCAATCTTTTTTCTTATTCTTATTCTTATTACTGTTATTCATCCCTAAACTCTAAAATATTTTTTGACATGAATTAAAAATAATTTTGATAATTTTATAATATTTTGCTATTCCTTCTTCTTAACTTTGTTATTCATATTAGCAATTAATGAAAATCGAGCAATTAAGACTAATTTTAAATAATTTAAATTAATTAATGATTAAAATAATTTTTTTTTATATAAACTGAAAGTAAATTTTAGTATAAGAATTAAGACATATTTAATTGTAAAATTAAATATGATTTTAGTTTATATATCCTATAGATTTTGAAAAGGTATGATGCCAATCAATTTTATAATAATTATAAAATTTTATATTTTATGCAATATTTGTTTTTATGTTGAAAAATCATTATGAGGACACTTTCTCAAGAGTTCTTCAAATCACTCACATGCATCGAATAAGGATTCTGCTTCATATTATTGGAAGTAACATATCTTTGTCATAAGCTTAAAAGACTTTAATTGAGGAAAGTACTTTTCCAAGAATTGTCGAGTGAGATCCTCCCAAGTTGTGATGAAATTGGCTGGGAGTGAGGCGAACCATGCATTTTCCTTCTCAGATACCGAAAAGGGAAAAAAACAGAGTCGAATGACATTGTTGGAGACTCCGTTGTATTTGATAGTGTCAGTCAGTCGAAGGAACTTTGTTAGATGAATGTTGGGGTCTTTGTTGGACATGCCTCCAAACTGTAAGGAGTTCTAGATCGTGGTTATGAGTGCTGGTTTGAATTCAAAATGGTTGGCTTCCACGTTAGGGGTCGCGATGCTTCCAGGAGTGTCTCTAGTAGTGGGTATCATGTAATCTTGAATTGATCTCCTTTCCTCTGCCATTCTTTGCTCTCTCACTTTCGTCCTTTATTTACGCATTGTTTTCTCAATTCCCAAATCAAATAAACAAGTTGTAGAACACTTAGAATGAGTGAACATACGCTAAAAAAAATTATAAATTAATAAAAAGAATAAAACAAAAGTAATAAATAAATAAAAAAAGAGAATGAAAATAAAAAAATTAAAATTAAAGAAAAAATATAAATAAATAAAATAAAACAAGGATTGCTCAAATCAATTAAATATGAGATTTTCTTAATTTTGAAAAAAAAATAATCCCCAGTAGCAGTGTCAAAAACTTGTTTGGTGGACAAGTATATCTGTCGAGAAGTAATAAAGGATTCTTAAATTAAGTTCTCGAATTATCATCCTACAATGATTGTTTTCGAATTACTAAGAATTTTCTAATTTAATTGTTTGAACTTCAAAGATATGAGATTAATTAAAACGAATTTATAAAATCAATTATAGAACTAAAAGTAAGGAACACAATGTACGTCTTGGTTGAACTTATCGGAGAGGAACTTAAGGCATATGGATTTTCTCATTTAATCCTTTATATTATTTTTCTATTTAATTCTAAGTTTGATTTTCTTGTAATTACCAATCATTCATACAATTATTATTAATACCCAATAGTCATGCAATATTAATATTCTTTTCTCTAAACTAACATCCTCAATGGTCATGCAAGATATTAATTCAAGAAAGTATAAAATACCTATAAACTTGTTAATTTAATAACGATTGGAAGAGAAAGATTGGTTTGGTCCACCTAATCTTTTGTCTAGTTTTATCCTATAGATCGATTAACTAATCGAGGTAAGGTCACTTGACAATATAATTAATTAGGATTATTCAATTATGTGCAATAAGATGAAAGCTAATCACAAACGGAAACCAAATATAGATTCAAACCTCAAAATCCCATAAATTCATGAACAATGGTTCCTATAGCCCTAGTTATGGACTTAATTTCTCATGCTAAAGAAAATAATTAAAATAATTGTAAACAAAGTCATAGAGAAAAGCAAACTAGAATGAGATGATTTTTCAGTCTTCAAGTATGGTCGCTTGAAGCTCTAAGTTCTGCTAAGAGTATGCCAAAGATCCAGTGCAAGAGAGATGAGATGAAAGGTGTATCAAAGAGCAAAGGACAAGATGTAAAATAGTATCCTTAATAGGATGTCTGAGGTCTCTCTTTTATAGGGTTTGAAAATCCTAAAAGCTCTTCATAATTGGGTTTCCCCACAGATAAGCACAGTCGTGTAAGGCCTTAAGCACGACCGTGCATGGGCTCGAAGCACTCTTGTGCTTGATGAAAGGGTTTGGGCATGCTGACTACTGCAAAACTCTGATCTTTCATCAATTTGGACCCAAAACGCACACAAAATTCACTTGTGGCCTCTTCATACTAAACTGCATAATTAACATATAAATTAGTATAAAACCTAAATAAAATAAAGATCAAATACGAATATATAGGCTATAAAAAAGGGCCTAAATATAGACTTATTAGATCCCAAACATCAAAATGAACCAAACTAAACAGAGATGTGACTTGCTTATTTTCATGACTCGAAAAGGAACTACGGACATATTTTCCTAGTTGACACGATTCACAAGAAAGTGTAGAAAACTGAGAGAGACTTGGCACCAATAATTTTAGTTCCTGAAAACTCAGATTTCCCAACCTAGTATGCGAAAGAAGAGGGGAGTCCACCGCCAAACCAATTTGTATAAGGGGTTGGAGTTGATAAAGTCCATGTGACTCATAATTGGTGTCAATCATCTGCCTCGTTGTCTGGTCTTGGAGAAAAACATAATATTTAGTAAGGAGATAACACAATTAAGTGTGTGACTGAGCCGACTTATAGAAAAAAGAGGGATTTGTTGCCAGTAATATGATCAGTGACACTTGAATCAAGTACCCATAGACCAAGAGATGGGGAATGAAAAATACCAACAAAAGCATTACCTGTTCTGTTATGGAACTAGAGGCCTGACGATCTCTATACCAACAAAGAAAATCATTGAAAAGTGATGGTGGGATGTTGCAAGTGGAAGCAGACTTAGTAGAACACCAGACTCAGTAGAAGTAGGCTTTAGAGCAAGTTCGAGAAGAGTAGGAGTTGCCATGGGTCAACCTAAAAGAGAGAGAAACACAACCAAGCAGTGGTAAAACAAGGTAAATAGTAGCAATGGTAGTGAGAAGCCAGTCAAAACATCAATGGCAAAAAGTTGTCAGCAGTGTGAACAGTACGATCGGAAAAAGTCGCCGTCAAGGAACACTACTGCCAGAAATTCGCCAGAGAGTGAACAACACAATAAAAAAAGTCGTTGAACAGTGAACAGTGCGGTTGAGAAAGTCACTGGAAGTGAACAATATAGTCAAAAAAGTCATTGGAGAGTGAATAGTGTGATCGGAAATTTGTCAGAGTAAACAATGTGGCCCGAAAAAAAAAACAGAAACTAGAGACAGACATGGTTTCTAAAAAAAAATTACACCTATGAGTAGTGGGCCCATAGGAAAAGAATGAATTAGGATTTCCTCCTTGTTAGGCTCTTGATACTATGTTAAGAAACTTGAGCCTAACTCACTCCCAAAAGTTAGCTTATAATAGGAGGACTTTTGTAGCCCTTATAAGGAGTATTACGGCTCTATTCCTAACCAATGTGGGACATCTTAACACGCCACCCTCACACCCAGTATTGGACAATTGATGTGTGAAATTTACAAGACTGGACATCTGCACGGGTAGACCCAACAGGACTAGACATCTGTAGGCAGCCCAACATGTAAACTGAATAGGTTCTGATATCACGTTAAGATGAGAAAACACAATAAGGCATGGGAGGAATTTTGTGTGTCTCAAATACATCACGTGATATATATTTATATTGATAACGAGAATTGTAATCATAGCTACAAAATTAAGGACAAATATACGGTTACCTAATTACCATAATTACATGGATACTATTTCCCTAAATAATTTATTTAAATATATTTAACAGATACTATTTTCCCAAATAATATATTTTATGTATTTATTATTATGCCTATTGATTAGGGTTGTGTAGACTTGAATTATGTGAATTGTTTATATGTTGGAATATGGAATATAAAAGTTGTGTAATTGCCAGATGAGGAGCAGGGCAATTGTTGTATTATGTAATGATGTTGTTGAGTGTAAAGTGCAGTGTGAGCTGAAGAATGATTATTAAGTGTGCTAAGTGTCTAGATAATTTAGAAAGCATGCTTAAGAGTTGGTAGTATTTAACTCGAGAGAGAAATTTGAAGTTTGAGTGTAGAGTGTCTCGCTCAAGCGAGAGCAGATAAGATTACCCAGCTATAACCTTGCCTAGGCAAGAAGAAATCTTATTCAGGTGAGAGGTGATCTCGCTCAAGTAAGGAGTCGCAAGAGTAATAGGTAGCTCTCTGGATACAATCTCGCCCAAGTGAGAATGTTGCTTGCCCAGGTGAAATGTAGCTCGCTCAAGCGACGTGTTACTCACTCAAGCGAGAATAGCAAAAATTTGAAAGGTTCCACTATCTGGTTTTCTCGCCCAGGTGAGGGTGAGCTCGCCAAGGCGAGAAACGGATCTCGCTTAAGCGAGGATTAGATTGCTTAAGCTAAAGCGCACGAGCAGGAGGGGTATTTAAGGGACCTTAGTGCCCAGAGACTTCATTTTCTCATCAGACAACTTCTCTCTCTCATTTTCTCTCTGTTCTCTCACTTCTTATCCTTAGAAAAAACCTTCTCGAATCTGAATTCCTTCCCGATCAAAGCGAGATCTTCTATCTCATCGAGATCTAGGTGAGTTCTCAGAACTCAGTTTTTCGATCTTTACTTTGTTTCTTCTCTCTCTTTCTCAAGTGACTTATACCATGTCGTTCTGAGTAGATCTGAGCCATTTGAACCGTATTCCATACCTAAACGCTTGATCTATTCCTTCGGGACTTACTAGGAGTTGATATGAAGAAAACTCATTCCAAGTAAGGGAAACTTACCTGATTTTATCTAGTTTATTTAATAGAGACCGGGATTTTTATATAAAACATATCATTCTAGCTGAGAATAGTGAGCTGTATGAGTTAACCTTGGGCTAGGACCTAGAGCCTGTATAGTCAAGTATATTTCTCTATTATCTGATAAGTGTTTAGAAAGTCGTGATGGAATATAATGTGCTATAATGTTGTGATATATATAACATGCTGGAATGTTGTGACATATAAGCCGAAAGTACTAATATATGCTAGAATATTTAATTAATATTTTAAGTTGCTTAGTTTCACTGTGTGCTGTGTATTGAAATGCTGGTTTTTGCTGTGAATATATATATATATATATATATATATATATATATATATATATATATATATATATATATATATATATATATATATATATATATATATATATATAGATGAATTGTTGAAGCTAAAAATAAAAATTTGTTGTGCTGTAATATGTTAATTTCATTGTGCTACATCATAATCATTCTAGAGCTGATTATGACGCTGAGTTGTGCTGTGTCTAGATCTAGATACCGGGATGGGTCGCTCCCAGACCGTAAAACAATTCCTTTAGATTACTTAGGCTGTGAAATCAGATGGA